ATCAAGGTTATGTCAAATGGTATGTGAACGGCTCAAATTAGTTTTATGAATATATGTAGACATTTCTCTTATTTCTGTTATGTGTATTATTTTCAGTAAAACATCTTCAGGTGAAATTTGTGAAATTATTGTTTATGATTTTTGTTTTGAAATTAGAAATAGCAGATGACTCCTTACTTTTCAAAACATAACCGTTTACACCATAACAGCAAGTTATTGTGATGAAGAAACAGCGTTGATGATGTTCTGTGTTTCAATGCCTGTTGCAAAAGAAAAGTTGTTATTTCAATCTTTATTTATGTTAATAAGAATACATATTTTTACATGTAGTATAATATCAATAAATTGTAAAGATATCATAAGAATGAATACCAGATGTCTTGAGTAGGACACCTTCATCGGTTCACCAAATATTGCATTAGTGTAATGTGGATTTTTATCTTACAGGAGTGATTTTAGCCAGGTTTGACTCAGAGCTATATATTTCTCAACACTTTCCGTTAGATTTGTAAATCGTTTTGTGAAACATGCAGCAATTTGATCTGTTCCCATTATCTACACCATTGTTACATGTTTTTTTTGGGGAAAAATTTGAAATGATAAATAATGCCAAGACCATTCAACTTAAACTGAAGGACTATATTTCTAAACATCACATGTTGATTTTAACACTCAGCAAGCATATTGATGAGTTGAAATACTCGTAGCTGAGTAAAACACAGTATTTGAACTAATACGTTTGTGTGGAGTTGATAGACATGTACTGTATGTGAAGTGTGACTCTCTTGATGCGTGTTTGTTAAATACAGATGACCAAAACCTGGAGGTACCAGAGCCAGAACCTGACTATGATGATGATGTCCTTGACGGCCCAGGCACGAATCCAGATTCGTCGTCCGTGTCGGAACTTCAGAACCGCCTGGAGCCGGTGATAATGCGTGAACGACCTTCTTCCCTGTCTGACCGCCCACCCTCAGAGGGAGACGAGTCCGCACTCATACAGCCGAAACGCTTGGTGAACCCCTGCATTGAGTCGAAACCCAGGATGAATCTACACAAGGAGCTTCTTTTGAACTACAAAATGTATGTATATAAACAGACATGGCATCAGTAATTATATAAGGTGCTGGGGACTTTGTACATCTTTATGTTAAATACTAAGCAGATATCAGCACTAGATTTTTAAACAAGAAAAAATACCATGCTGTTATAATATTCAAAATGTAATATAAAAACCTGCCTTTCTGATATATCTGAGGTCCACGGTGGGATATAGTGACTGTGTAAACATTAACAGTGAACAAGCGTACTTTGAAATAAATGTTTAGATAAGTGTCTGATGTCATTGGTATACAGGGTTATCATGGGAATGGCATTTGTGAATGATAAAATGTAACAAAATGTCCTGAAATGACATTTAAAGGGATTGCTATTAAAGGTTATGTTTCATGTTTCAAAACCATTGACATGATTCTGTGAGTCAGTCGTATTATCACAGTTTTAGAAATAGTTTTCATTTCTTTTCCATCAATTCATCTTTTGAATGTCGTTTCCAATGAAATTACAAATGGGGAATACACACAGGTCTATAGAACAAATGGGGAATACACACAGGTCTATAGAACAAATGGGGAATACACACA